CTATCCCAGGCAAAGCGTTTAAATTATAGCGCTAGACACGAAAGCATATAAAAATGATGTGCGTGGTTTCGGTTTTGTCACTGATATCATATATATATATATGATATGCGCGGTTTAAAGGTTAAGGACCTGCCCGAAACGCTACACGTGCTAGTGGCTGTACGATAATGTAAGAACTCTTGTATATATAAATAAATAATATAGATAAATAATTATTTCAATGTCTCAGATTGATTTTTCCTTAGTTTATTTGCAGTAATATTATTCGATAGTGTGATACACTGTATTATGTAATAAAATGTGAGAATCATCGCTATACAGTACTCAAAATTATGGTGTGCATATTAGTGATTCAATTATTATGTTCATAATAATAATAAACAAATATTTTAATTATATTATATTATATATGTTTGTTACATGGGTATGTAAGTATCTGCATGTTTTGTTTACCATAATGAAGCACAAAGTTGGTATAGCGAGTCAAAACAACGAAGAGTGGCGGCCCCATACTAGCCAACCACCACCTTCCCTCCAACAACAGCTCACAGCCCAACATTCCTCCTCCTACTATACTGTTTTTGCTTTTATTCACTATTTTATATATATATATATATATATATATATATATATATATATATATATATATATATATATATATATATATATATATATATATATATATATATATATATATATATATATATATATATATATATATATATATATATATATATATATATATATATATATATATATATATATATATATATATATATATATATATATATATATATATATATATATATATATATATATATATATATATATATATATATATATATATATATATATATATATATATATATATATATATATATATATATATATATATATATATATATATATATATATATATATATATACACACACACACACATACACACACACACAATCTTTGGACAACACCCACCAGTGGGACTCGAACCCAGAAAGCACAACTACCTTCCAGTAGCTGGCATAACTAGTATGCTTTAACCCACTACGCCATCAGACCTTACAAAAGAAGTAGATAGTTCGAGATATATATCTCAAACATCTCTACCTCCCGAAGGCACCAGATGAGTGAGGGGTCAGTCTGCATTTTTCGTCAAGCCACTGTCAATGTGAGAGAACTCGTGTCCAGCTTATAAGCCTATACTTGCATAAACCACAAGTGAAGATAAACAATCTTTGGACAACACCCACCAGTGGGACTCGAACCCAGAAAGCACCCAGAAAAAAAGGTCTGATGTAAGACCTTAACCCACTACGCCATCAGACCTTTTGTAAGGTCTGATGGCGGAGTGGGTTAAAGCATACTAGTTATGCCAGCTACTGGAAGGTAGTTGTGCTTTCTGGGTTCGAGTCCCACTGGTGGGTGTTGTCCAAAGATTGTTTATCTTCACTTGTGGTTTATGCAAGTATAGGCTTATAAGCTGGACACGAGGTCTCTCACATTGACAGTGGCTTGACGAAAAATGCAGACTGACCCCTCACTCATCTAGTGCCTTCGGGAGGTAGAGATGTTCGAGATATATATCTCGAACTATCTACTTCTTTTGTAAGGTCTGATGGCGTAGTGGGTTAAAGCATACTAGTTATGCCAGCTACTGGAAGGTAGTTGTGCTTTCTGGGTTCGAGTCCCACTGGTGGGTGTTGTCCAAAGATTGTTTATCTTCACTTGTGGTTTATGCAAGTATAGGCTTATAAGCTGGACACGAGTTCTCTCACATTGACAGTGGCTTGACGAAAAATGCAGACTGACCCCTCACTCATCTGGTGCCTTCGGGAGGTAGAGATGTTTGAGATATATATCTCGAACTATCTACTTCTTTTGTAAGGTCTGATGGCGTAGTGGGTTAAAGCATACTAGTTATGCCAGCTACTGGAAGGTAGTTGTGCTTTCTGGGTTCGAGTCCCACTGGTGGGTGTTGTCCAAAGATTGTTTATCTTCACTAGTGGTTTATGCAAGTATAGGCATATAAGCTGGACACGAGTTCTCTCACATTGACAGTGGCTTGACGAAAAATGCAGACTGACCCCTCACTCATCTGGTGCCTTCGGGAGGTAGAGATGTTTGAGATATATATCTCGAACTATCTACTTCTTTTGTAAGGTCTGATGGCGTAGTGGGTTAAAGCATACTAGTTATGCCAGCTACTGGAAGGTAGTTGTGCTTTCTGGGTTCGAGTCCCACTGGTGGGTGTTGTCCAAAGATTGTTTATCTTCACTTGTGGTTTATGCAAGTATAGGCATGCATGCATATATATATATATATATATATATATATATATATATATATATATATATATATATATATATATATATATATATATATGTCGTACCTAGTAGCCAGAACTCACTTCTCAGCCTACTATTCAAGGCCCGATTTGCCTAATAAGCCAAGTTTTCCTGAATAATATATTTACTATAATTTTTTTCTTATGAAATGATAAAGCAACCCTTTTTTCTATGTATGAGGTCAATTTTTTTTATTGGAGTTAAAATTAACGTAGATATATGACCGAACCTACCCAACCCTACCTAACCTAACCTAACCTATATTTATAGGTAAGGTTAGGTTAGGTAGCCAAAAAAAGCTAGGTTAGGTTAGGTTAGGTAGGTTAGGTAGACGAAAAAAACATTAATTCATGAAAACTTGGCTTATTAGTTAACCCTTTAACTGCGCAACGCGCCTGCAGGCCCAGGCTTCGGGTGCGCAACGCGCCTCCGGGTGTTTTTATTTTTCACGTTCCATTCAAAACTCTCGCGGCTACATGGGGTTCACATCAGCTTCCTCAGGGCTCTTGTAAACAGATGCCATCTTAAAAAAAATCATGGTCCACATTGCCGGGTATGAGAGCCTCAGTAGTGAGTGAGCAACCAAGGCTGGCGCTCGCAGCATGAGCGCACAGCACTGCTGTTCAGCGTGTGACCACAGCATCGCCTAATAATGTCAAAATATATATATAACCTGTATTATTTAGCCATGATAGTATTATAGAAGAGCCGAGTGTGATAATGACTGGGTACAATGTTCAAATATCAGTGATTCAATGCTGTTCACGATGTTCACAGCGCTAGCCACAGCACCACAGCATTATTTCGTCCATCTAGGAATCTTCAAATGACTTTTTAGGTTCCTTTTCAAAATAAACTTGTGGTCAATTATTCATTTACAGGAATTAGTGACCAGGATTGTGGTTATAATTAGCGTTGTGCGTAGTATTGTGGAAGGAGGAATTTTGGTGAGGGAGGGAGGGAGAGAATTGAGGTAGCCTCACTGTGTGGCAGCCACTCTTGTTTTGCTCACCATACTAGCTTCGTGGTTCGCTATGGGGAACACACATGTACATGGGTATATACAGTGTGTGTGTATATAGTGTAATAACAGCAACAGGAGTATGTTGAGTGGAGCTATTTTGGTGAGGGAGGTGACGTCGTAATCGTAGCGTCGTCTGCTGTGTGATTTCTCATGCAGTGTATGGTGGCCACTGTACTGTTTGGACACAATACCGGCTTACTTGCATAGTTCTGGTAAATAAAACATGTAGATAGGTATATATAACATGTGTAAATAGTGTAATAAAAACAATAACAGTATGGTGGGAGGAGCAATGTTGGCGAGTAAGATGTTGGAGTGAGGGAGGGCCTGGCTGGGTGTGGCTGCTCACACTCGCGGTGTTCTGAATGTGTTGATGGTGAATGTATATAGTGTGTGACAGTGTATAGTCTGTAAATAGATTGTATATATACATAAATTAGCATGATACATGGTAAATATGTGCAACATATGTGTACACAAGTGTCATGCACGTAACACAGTGTCCATGGACAGTACAGATGTTTTACTGCCATAATATAGTGTACGTGTTCATTATACATAGGATTAGCACGTAAAAACAAATAAAATGTATTTGGAACTGTGCGCAAAAAATGAACAAAAATATATTCGCGGCAACTCGCGCGCCCCACCGGCCACGGGAGCTTACTGCACGGGCGCATGGGGAATGATGATGTCACGCGCCACCTTACGGACCCCATAGCAGCCAAAGTAAGTACAATTTCGAAATTTTTTTGCTATACCCATATACAGGGAGGGGTTTTTGACACTTTCAGAACAAAAAAGAATGTTTTCACTGGGGGAGAATTTATTTCTTGCGCACTGGGGGGTGTATCATTTATAGGTCGCACAGTTAAAGGGTTAAATGTAAATACAGTTGCAGGCGATGAGTCACAATAACATGGCTAAAGTATGATGACCAGACTACACACTAGAATGTGAAGGGAGGTTATCTTGAGATAATTTCGGGGCTTTTTAGTGTCCCCGCGGCCCGGTCCTCAACCAGGCCTCCACCCCCAGGAAGCAGCCCGTGACAGCTGACTAACTCCCAGGTACCTGTTTACTGCTGGGTAACAGGGGCATTCAGGGTGAAAGAAACTTTGCCCATTTGTTTCTGCCTCGTGCGGGAATCGAACCCGCGCCACAGAATTACGAGTCCTGCGCGCTATCCACCAGGCTACGAGGCCCCGTAGGGACGACGACGTTTCGGTCCGTCCTGGACCATTCTAAATCGACTTGAGAATGGTCCAGGACGGACCGAAACGTCGTGGTCCCTTCACATTCTAGTGTGTGGTCTGGTCATAAATACAGTTCTCGCCTATACTTTACCCTTCATCTCTAAAATAAAATATAGGGTTAATGAGTTAACTGCAGTATTGAGGTTACTGTATTTAGGCATCTCAAAATATGGACTATACTACAACAATAAATGTGTAAAGCAAGTTAGTAACCTGAAAACTTACTTTCTTTGCAAAACAATAAAAAAAAAATATGTAATTCATTGTGTAACTCTTGAACAAAGAATTTTTATAAACAATGGCCCAACCCTAACCAACACCAAAATCCACTTACACTCAACAACCTAAAATGAAAGTGGGTAAGATAGAGCACTTACTCAACCAGGTCTCGGTGGCCCTCTTGTGCTGCCTCCATTAGTGGCGTAAAGGCCCCAAGTTCCAAGTCTGCTCCAGCCTTGATAAGAAGATCAGCAACATCTTTAAAGCATTCAACACATGCTAATGTCAATGCAGTCTCTTGGAACTCTTCCGTTTGTGCATTAATGTCTGCACCTGAAAACGCAAGTGCCAATAAACTGAATCAATAGACGATTCCTCTTCTCCCCTCCAGAAACAAATTTCAATGAAAATTTATGATATGCATGGAATACCTACATGTCAGGACATGCAATAAAAACAGATCAAAAGTTACCATGAGCCAACAGCAATGTGACCATCTCCTCATGTCCTTCCCCTGCAGCCTCCATGAGAGGGGTATATCCATCATCATTTACCTCCTCAATATTTGCTCCTCTTTCTAAAAGTAGGAGTGCAAGGTCAGTGTGGCCACCACAAGCACTCAGGGTCAGGGGTGATTCAAAGCTGCCGGCAGGCTTGTTCACCTAAAACAATACAGAAACCCAGCGTTGAATGTAATGAAACGCCATTTTCTGGGTGAGACCTGGAGGCTCGTCATACTCATATAGTATTATAATGTATAGTATTATAAAATAATAATGAGTATTATTTACAGACTTTTGGAATGGCAATGGGGAATCCTCTATCGCCATTGCTCTCAAACCTGTACATGGAATTCTTTGAAAAGAAATTTGTTTCAAAAATAACTCCTGGAATCATTCCTTGGTTTAGATATGTTGATGATATCTTGTGTATTTGGCCTTCAGATGTAAACACAGACGAATTTGTAGCCAAACTTAATGACCAAGTCACCTCCATAAAATTTACTATGGAGACTGAAATTGATAAATGTTTGCCATTCTTAGATGTGCTTATTCATAGGGAAAACTCTTCATTAAAGTTTAGTGTTTACAGAAAACCTACGAATAATTTATCTTATGTTCATTATTTTTCAGGGCATAGATACAATGTGAAAAAGTCAATTTTTTCTTCAATGTATCTAAGAGCTCTTCGAGTTGTGAGTCCAGAATTCTTAGACGAAGAATTTAAGAATATTGATTCGATTGGTCTTGAGCTTTGTTACCCACTGAATTTTCTGGAAGTTTGTCGTAACAAAGCACGTCGTACATATTATAATAATGAATGTACATTCATGTACATGAATGTACATGAAAGTTGTACATGAATGTAACAACTCTTGTATATATCTCAAAAAAAAAAAAAAAAAAAAAAAAAAAAAAAAAAAAAAAAAAAAATGTATGCAGTGAAAGGATTCGCCCAAAGAATGTGTTATGTTTACCATATTTCTCTGGGTTTGAGAATATTGTCAAGGCCTTGAAACTTTAAAATATACATGTATTGTTTAGCTACGAAAACACTGTTGGTAAGCTATTAGTTAGGAACAGCCCTCGTAGTGATAATTGCGTCATTTATAAAATAACTTGTAAGGAATGTAATAAGTTCTATGTCGGGCAAACATTTAAAGATTTAAAATGCAGAATATCGCAACATAAATACTCTGTAAGACATGGCCAATTGTCTAATGCTTTGTTTGTTCATTTGTCAGAAAAAGCTCACCAAATTGATTGGGAGAGTGCTTCTTCAATAACAAATTGTAAAAGCACCTATAACAGAAACATAATTGAATCTGCTTTGATACAGATCACCAAAGAAAGTAATTTGAATATTAGCAGTGGTCTATATAACTTAGATCCATTTCTAATAGATCAGCTAAAGGGCGATTTAAGTAGGATCATTGGAAAACATTTGTCTCGCTAATTCATTGTATATATTTACCTCTTTAATTACCTATGTATTGTGCTTGTATATCTGCTGTATCAGATGGGCCATTGTGCTACATCGGATGGGCCAATTAGGTGCATCTGATGGGCCAATGGGCCGTCTGCGTTGTCCAAGTATTGTACCTCACCTCTCTTCACCACACTCTCCTGCCTATTTATACCCATCACTCAATCTGTAAAATCATTCCTTCTGAAGATGTATTTAATATACGAAAGTACTTAAGGAAATTCCTGTTTCATTTTCCTCCGTGGTCTGACATTGTCATATTTATATAAATATAAACGTATCCAGCGACTGGCCGAAAGAGACACCAGACCGCAGAAACTCGCCTGTCGAATGAAGGCACGAACGTGTCACAACACAAAGGGGGAAGGCCTGGTAGCCTGGTGGATAGCGCGCAGGACTCGTAATTCTGTGGTACGGGTTCAATTCCCGCACCAGGCAGAAACAAATGGGCAAAGTTTCTTTCACTCTGAATGCCCCCTGTTACCTAGCAGTAAATAGGCACCTGGGAGTTAGTCAGCTGTTACGGGCTGCTTCCTGGGGAGAGGGGGAAGGGGGGGGGGAAGAAAGGAAAAAAAAAAAATAGTAGTTAGTAAACAGTTGATTGATAGTTGAGAGGCGGGCCAAAAGAGCAAAGCTCAACCTCCACAAACACCTAGGTGAATACAACTAGGTGAATACACAACGTTGCTGAGAAGATCCCAGGAGCACCGCCAGGGGAAGGAGGTCAGATCCGCACACGCAGGAGAGCAGGGTAGAGGCAAAAAGAGACGCCCCACACCCATTACACAGGGAAAAGCCCGGCGTCCTCCTCATAGCTGCAATCCAGAACACCCCAGGAGCTACTGAGCATGGACCAGAGAAAACAAACTCCCACGGTGTATGCGCAGGACATGCTGTCCGAACTGCACAACCCGCTCTGCGGGAAGGCACCAACTAGGACTACTTTACAACAGAAGTAGGCAAACAGAACGTGACTCGAGTGAACCGCTAAAGAGAAGAAACAGCCCATCACAGGAGCCAAAAGAGAAGTAAGCAGTGATAACATAGAAGGCTTACGAAAGGAAGACAAGAAACACAAACGGGAACCCAACTGGGCTACAAGTAGCCCAATCCGGCATCCTGGACTAGGAGTATACAAATAAAATGAGCAGCGCCGCTGCACAACAGAACGAGACAGGAACAAAAACCAAGAATAAGCACAGAAAAGGACCAACAAGTCCTAGAAAGGACCGGAGGGAAGCCACATCGAAAGACGACAGATGTTCCAATAACACGGGAAGTAGCAAAAACCTTCCTGAACCCTCGAGAACAAAAAAGCAAAATATGCACGAAAGCACATAAAGGCACAGTCGTACCCGAGACCAAAAGTCAAGTAGAACCTCAAGAACAGGGGAACATGACGGAGACATCCCGTCCCAAGAAAAAGGGGGGGGTGAATAACAGAGGAGAGCACCCACCTACAGGAAGGAACCAACCGACTCGAGGGACAAGGAACCGAGCCCGGGGAGGGGCCGATGCCCAAAAAAACTCGTACGGCGAGGGAGAGGAAAAAAATCCACTCAGCGTAACCTCAAGCCCCGCCTAGAGGGTAGAAAAACCCCCACAGGGTCCAACAGAGCCCAAGTCAGCTCCTTCCAAGCCCAGGGAACCCACACGGCAGGCCCTGGGGGCCAAGCCGCCCCCCCACAGCTCAGGCCTCAAGAAAAAACCGGGGCAGCCGCGAAAAAACTAAAGAAGGGAGCCCACTGGCAGACTCTTAAAACACGGCTGGAGGAACAGGCTCGAATGCCGCCATCACTACCCCGGAAGGGAAATTCCCAGAGATCGCTCGAGTCTCAAAACAAATGACCCCAAACCCACAGATGGTAACAAGACGAATGCAGGTATGAAGGAGGAAACCAGATGAGATCACAACAGGGGAAAGACAAGGGGGGCGTGGAAGGAACCGAAGCAACCAACACCCCCAAGCCCCAACACCAACCAAAACGGGGCAGCCTCGTGGCTTCCGGGGAGCAAACAACCGAGAGTGTCGCCACCAATGAAGCTCAACATGCAATACCCGTGCTGCCTGCACCCACATAGTCAGCACAAGACTGGGTAACCGAGTCACAACAAGCAACAAAACTCGCAGGACTCTGGGCCGAAGGTGTCACCAACCCCACAGGCAGCAGACGGAGGCAAAGACAGTCACCCTGAGACAAGGGGTGAGAGCAACCCTCAAACTCGCTGGAAGCGAAGGGGGACTCTGGGGTCACTCCATCGGACCCGCGCGCCCCCAGGGGTTTCCCAGGGTCCTGAGCGTTTACTGTAAGAGGACTCGCGCTCAGGTAATCCCAGGCAGGGTACTGCTAACCGGCACCCAAAGCTACCAAACAACCTTCTAAGAGCTGAACCCCCCTGACGTGTACACTCACGGGGGCCTAGTAGGGGAAACCACCTGAAGAAAGAAAAATACTCAGTACACAGGGGACACAGGGGGGGGGGGGGCAAGAACAAATGCAGACCCTCCCCCTCCCCCACCAGGCACATAAAGAAAAAGAAAACTCAGCAAGAGGACAGCGTACCCAGGCGGAACAGAGCTGGTCGCCATGATTGGTGAAACCAAGCTGCACAGCACCCTGCACCCCACCAGTGCAAAACTGCCCCTTACCCTAAGGCGAACAAGGAAGACAGAACACCCGAGCACAGAAAGAGCGGCCAAAAACCAAGCAGTAATTGGCCTAGCAGAGGCAGAACCCAAGGAACTTGTGGTTGGTTGCCCCAAGCCCCAAGGGCAGTACTTACAGGGCACCTAGGGAAGGAAACCTTAGGCACATGCAGCCCGAGTACTGGAGAATCACTCCTGGCTCATGCACCACCTAGCAGACAGACACCACACTCTAGGTAATGTGCTGAAACAACAACTGGAGCCAGAGCACATGACCTCAGCCTTTAGCATCAGCCGAAGAACTGATGGTGGATAGCCAGCACGGTACGTCTGGGGCTCCCCCTTCCCCCTCCTGGGGAGGGGGGAGCTGCACAGACAACGGCACGGCGATGTGTGACGCCATGATCGTTTGCTCGTTTCTTTTAGGGGAGTTCAATCCACTTGTTCAGCTTGTGGTAGCAATTTTCACCAGAATAGGGGTTTGTTTTGGGACGCATACCTTTCTGGGTGCCTGACCCGGTCGATGGCAGACATAGAATGCTTCCAACCACACGGGGGTTTCTATAGGCCATTGCTCCCCTTGCCTCTAGAGGGGGCCAGGTTCTGGCTCGTGGTCCCCGGTGGGTCCATAGAACTCCATACACATGACTGATGCCAAAGTCTGACATTAGCATATCAGCCTGGATAAGCTTCGGGAATCCAAAGGGGTTCCCCACAGAAAAGACAATAATTTGCACTGCATTAGCATTTAGCAAACAAATTTACTTACATTAAGCAATGTTAACTTGTGCAATTTAACAATGCCTTACCTGCGCACCAGAGTCAAGAAGAAGGCGTGCAACCTCCACAAGGCCATGCATGCTGGCCTTCATCAGGGCAGTGTGCATTTCATTAGTCTTGTGCTCTTGATCAGCTCCAGCATCAAGCAAAAATTTAACCATCTCTGAGTGGCCCTTGTTGCATGCTAAAATCAATGCAGATTCTTTAAATTCACTGCTGTGGGTGTTGATTCCTGCACCTTTTTCTAATAGTATCTAGAATAAACAATACAAGACAATTCTTCAGAAAAATTAACCATAGTGAATACACTGACATTACAATTGAATAACTCTACTAAAAGACATTTGGGCCGTCCTTGGTATCATCCAGAGGAACTCGGTATTCTTACTAATGCATCACTTCCACTACTATTTCAATGTAACTATTACCAGACTCAAATTTCTCTTCAAATAAACTATACAGAGCATCAATAATGTGTATATTATTTCAATATTTCCATAATAAGATGATGATAATACAGAATACTAATACAGTGGAACCTTTATTAACGAGTTTAATCCGTTCTGACACCGAGCTCGTTACCTGGAAAATTCGTCTTAAGAAACAAATTTCCCCATTTAAAATAAAGGAAATAAATTTAATCCGTTCCACTCCCAAAAACATCCATACTTGTATGACTTTTTTTATGTAAATATAATACTGCACATGTAATTATAAATGTTTTGTTGTAGTGTTTTAATGTTTACTTTACCTTATGAAGAGTAGTTGCTGGCTTGAGGGAGACGATGGGGAGGTGGGAAGGAGGAGAGGGGTTATGGTGTGGAAGGAGAATCCACCTCTGAGTCAGGCGGACTCTCTCTTCTTGGGAATTTCACCCAAATTTCATTTCAAATGTCACACAAGGATGCGTTAGACCAGCACCAAATAAAAGTACTAAATCGATTACACTCGTTGTGTCAACAATATAATAGTCTTACCACGAAGATACAATACAATGCCGTTTTCTCAAATAGGCAATGTGGTTATTAAAGAAAACGGAAATTTCATGGCAAACATGTATACAATCCCCAAGTCGATCGGATAAGAATTGGATTTTATAGAAATATTTGCTCAAATGACGCTTGAGCGCAGTGTTTGGGTGCATTCAAGAGAAAAAAGTGTGTCACGTTCAAGCGACATACCTGCGAAAGTGATAACACTTTCATAAAGTGTTATCACAAAGTGATAAATTAAACATTTTCACACACCGGGTTGTCACTGCTTTATCAGCACAGCTTTTCCAAGAATGTGTTCACCTTTTCAAACATTCCAAACACTTCCCTGATCTCAGTGGAAGAGGCAGCATCCTCCCTTACCTCCTCATTCCCTTACTAATGGTGTAAATTGTTGATGAGGACCTGCCATACTCCCTTGTGAGATCAGTCACAAGACTCATGCTTTGCTATAATTTCCTTCTTCAAATCCACAGTAATTGTGTCTTTCTTCCTCTTGACAACACTATCTTTAGCAAGCAGCTTCTTTGGAGACATCGTGTGTTACAAATTGTAGTCGCAAAACCACTAAAAACCCAAAGAAAAGCTCAAATAAATCCAGAGGGATGCTTGTCGTGTGCGATACAACAACACTGGCGTCGGAGGCGTCCGAGAATTTGCGAGAACCCGCGAGATGCTAGGAAGCACCATGTGGTTTTGCTCGTCAATAGAGGCGAGCTCGTCAATAGAGACAAATTTGCTGCGAGTGGCTTGCTCGTTACTGGAAAAACTCGTTAATAGAGCCACTCGTTAATCGAGGTTCCACTGTACAACAATAAACAGCGAAGCTGAGATGGCAAATGTCTTCCTATTTCCAATAGGGTATAGTTACCCTACAGTTACCTTGCGATGATTTCTGGGCTCAATGTCCCCAGTGATCATTGTCCTTTGTCCTTGACCTGGTCTCCTGGTTACTGGACTGGTCATCCAGGCTGTTGAACATGGCTGCTTGCAGCGTTGTTGATCATCCTTTGGAGACATTTATCAAATTCTCTCATGAACAGTGTGAGGAGTCAGCCAGTTATGCCCCTTATGTGTAGTGGAAGCGAGTTGAACAGTCTCGGACCTCTGATGTTGATAAAGTTCTCTCTCATACCTATTGAACCTCTGCTTTTCAACAGGGGGGTGGGGGTATTCTGCACATCCTGCCATGCCCTCTGGTCTCATGTGGTGTTATTTCTGTGTGCAGGTTTTGGGCCAGCCCTTTTAATATTTTCCATGTGAAAATTATCATGTATCTCTCCTGCCTGCACTCAATAGAACACAGATTTAGGCATTTTAGTCAGTCCCAATAGTTTAGATGTTTTACAAAGTGGACTTTAGTAGTAAAGGATCTCTGCACGTTCTCCAGGTCAGTAATTTCTCCAGCTTTGAAAGGAGCTGTCATTGTGCAACAGTATTCCATTCCAGAGAGCACTAGCATCTTGAAAAGTATCATCATTGGTATAGCATCTTTAGTATGAAACGTTCTTGTTATCCAACCTGTCATAATTCTTGCAGTTGTGACGGCTACTTTGTGTTCTTTAGCCCTTAGACCACGCAATGCATAAATTATTTTGTCAAATCATACATGTAACACAAGTTTTTAATACTTGTGTAAACACTTTCCAATTTTTTTTTGCGTAATCAACTAGGTAAATGCTCCAACTTTGTTTAAATGATAATGATTCAAGTCACAGTGTAACTTGAAAAATAAGAATCAAAATTAATTTTAAATTTGAATAATGAAAACGACAGATTTTCAATTCAGAATAAAAAATATAAACTATCACCAATTGTTCATTTAATGTTATTATTCTCTGAGAATAGTATATGATCTTCATTTTCATCTAATTACAATACTGTATAGCTTTTCCGTACAGTTTACTGTACAAAAATCGTCAATAGGGTTATCTTGAGATGATTTCGGGGCTTTTTTATTGTCCTCCGCGGCCCGGTCCTCGACCAGGCCTCCACCCCCAGGAAGCAGCAGCCTGTGACAGCTGACTAACACGCAGGTACCTATTTTACTGCTAGGTAACAGGGGCATAGGGTGAAAGAAACTGCCCATTGTTTCTCGCCGGCGCCCGGGATCGAACCCGGGACCTACAGGATCACAAGTCCAGCGTGCTGTCCGCTCAGCCAATCGGCTCCCTTGTTTCTTTTCGGTAGTTTCGTCATTATTGCAAGTTTTCCCTTGCACCTAGATCCACCGAGCCTGTATGGTGCGCGTTTCAGTACTTCGGAAATCTGGAACGATCTTGAATCTCTTATGATAATATTTGCATGAAGCGTTTGTCCTCTGTCCGCTGACTGCACTGACGACCTGGTGTAAACCGAATACCCAACCGAGTCACAGGGACGTTAGAAGAAACGTGTGCAGTGTAACAGGCAACCGATCGAACACATTAGGCAGCCCACACCTGGGCTGACCCCATTCACAGCCCCAAGTGTAGAGACGAGAGAGCCCATGAGGCACAAAATCCGCACGTCAGGCGAACGACAGGTGAGAGGCGGAACCAAAGAGCCAGAGCCCAACCCCGCAAGCACAATGAAGCGAGCACATAACACCCTTGACACAGGAAAACGTACCACTGAACAGGCACCTCCACCATTGCACCGTGGAACATGGTGGAGGCGGGGCCCTGAACTCAAGCATGGTTAGACAAGCATAGGAGAGGGGCAGGATGAGTACAGGCAGGAGCTGCCTCGTATGGGCTAAGAGGCCTCCTGCAGTCACCTGTGATCCGAGGAAGGAATCAGGTGATGAGAACAAGAGCTGCCACGTATGGGCCAATAGCCCTGCAGCAGGCACCTTGGTTTTTATGTTCCACGTTCTCAAGTATGTATGTACACCCATTCCTACTCCCAAAAACAAAACCGGCATCAGGACTAAGGAGACGCCAGACCGCACCAACTCACCTGCAGAACATAGGCGCTGAAGGGACATGACGCAGGCCTATGAGAACGTAGCCGCCTCCGGCGGCCAGGGCGCTCATGCCGGAGAAGAAGAGGGGAGCGGCGAAGGAGGCTCCCCCCACCCAAAAATACAGAGAAAAACCTTGTGACCTCCCCACAGCGGCACTCCAGAACACCCAAGAGCAACGGGACACAGACTGGAGAATGATAAGAGCGAGAGGCAAAGCCCCCGAGAGAAAATGGACGCAGAACACCAGCACGTGTGCACACCGCCCAGAACCAAAACAAACTCCCACTGCGCATGCGCAGGACACGAGAGAAAAGTAGCCCAACAGGTTGGGCTACACAGGTCCATCCTACTCCGAAAAACAACAGATCAGAAAAGTAACTCAACGGGTTGTATCTTGAGCAATCCGTTGAAGAAACAGGCCAACTCATGGAAACAGAAGCCAACTTAGCCGGCCCATGTAATGAACAACGAACCGAACCGTTCGTTGTAAAACAACGAACCGAAACGGAACCCAAGCGGGCCACCAGTAGCCCAACATGGCGACAAGTAGCCCACCATGGCAACACGTAGCCCAAACGGCTACAAGCAGCCCAAGCAGCGACAAGTAGCCCAACCGGCGACAAGTAGCTCAATCCAGCATCCCAGACCAGAATGGAAGGAAAATGAGCAGTGCCGAGACTCTGCACGGAGAGAAGAGATATGAATAAACGAACGAGAAGACCAAAAAAAAATAGAAGCTGCCCGGATTAGGACCCACAAGTCCTAGAAAGGACCCAAGGGAAGCCCCACCGATTGATGACAGACGTACCAGTAAAACGGGAAGGAGCAAAACCGTCCCAAACCTTAGAGAACATAGAAGCAAACACAAAGGACGAAGGCACAGAAATCCCAAGAAGAGGGGGACTTGACGGAGAAGTCCCGTCCCGAGAAAAAAGGGCATAGAACGTAGAAAAGCACCCACCGACAGGACGCAAACAACGGGCAGAATGGACAAGGAACTGAGCCCGTGAAGGGGCTGACGCCTAAATACTCGTGTGGAGAGGGGGGGGGGGAAAACCCCACTCCACAAAACCGCAAGCCCCGCCCAGAGGGGTAGAAAAACCCCGGCGGGGACCAACGGGCCTGAGGCCCCCATGTCAGCCCCAGGAACCCAACCGGAAGGCCTCGGAGCCGAGCTGTCCCCCCAAAGCCCCAGCCTCAAGAAAACCGGGGCAGCCGTGAAATGCATTAAGGAAGGGAGCCCACTGGCAGACTCTTACAACACGGCTGGAGGAAACAGGCTTGAATGCCTCCGTCGCTACCCGGGAAGGGGAAG